GTTAGATCAGAGGAATGGAGGGGTGAGGAAAGGAGGAGAGGCAGAACAAACTGTGCTAGATGGAGCAAAACTGATGGCAAAGTAGAACTGAAAGAAGTAGAACTGTCCTCACAGAGATGTGTTAGGCAAGTACAAACAGATCAGGGACATGCAGTATGCAAACGAATCATTCAGGGGTAATGAATATAAAAATATATCCCAAAGTGTTATTTTTTAAAAATTCAATGACTTAAAGTAGAAAGAATGCAGCTGAAACATTAACTAATGGGGTGATGATAAAGGAGAGCTAGTAGACAATAGGGAGGAGATGGGGAAGTAAATGAGGGTCAGGGGAGAGAAAGGAAAAGTAGGCAAAAAATTACACACACATACACACCCACACACACACGTGCCAACTACACAAATCAAATGCAATTATTCCCATTGCAAACATATAGCAATAAAAAATTGGTGAGCTGGGAATGTGGTTGGAAAAGAGACAGATGTCAAAAACTTAAAACTGCAAAATAGAAAGTGTAAGCTCTTCTGGCACAAATGAATACACACTTGGCCCGGGATATAGATCAGCGGCGCAAGCACCTGCCTGGCAACAGCAATGTCCTGAGTTCAATTCCCGGTACCAAAAAAAACAAATGAATATACATTATAATGGCACATGCATGTGCACACTCGCACAACAACTTCTGTGATGCCAAGCAGCAGAATGCATGTGCTTGGCTGTGGGAAATGGAGCTGGGGCATCATGTGGCCTTGGGCTGAATAAGGAAGACAATATATTTGGACAATCTGATGCAAACAACGCCCATACTGCCCTTTCTCCTCCCTTTGCTCCCCAGGATGCCACAAAGCAGGATGAGCTGTGTGACAGGTGCTCATTCCTGGGCCTGTGGGGACAGAGACTGTGAGACAAAAAGTTTGGCTGCAGGGTGGAGGGGGAAGCAGGAGGGACATTCCAGCCACGTTTGAAAAGTGCAGGCCAAGGACGAAGTAGGGAAACCTAGCTACTGAGGGAGGCAGAGGGAGAGAGAGACAGACACAGGCAGCAGCAGACACGTAGACACCCTGCACAGAGTATGGCCGAGCTCAGCAAA